GGAGGTGTGGATGTGTTCATGGCTGCTAATGTACAGTGCTTTTGGTAGTGGCAAGTGACAGCTGGACACCCAGTCTGAACTCACTAGTAAATATATTAGTGCCTAAAATAGCTGCCGGGAGCCAGAAGCTTCACCTTGTATGTCAGAGAGAAGGGAGGGGGAAACAGACGCTGGGTCTGAGGACAGGAACAGACAGAAACAGGGAGGTGGTAGGAAGCAGAGGCGGTGGGCAGAAGGTGAATGTACACAGAGACAGTGCAGGTGATTCAGTGACAGGCGGATAGAGATTGTGCAGAGGTAATAGGAAGACAAGAATTAGTGCAGAGTGAAATCATTTCGGAAGTGATCAGTGTGAGAAGACTGGAACGTTAATCAACATGGTGAAGTGTCTAATCCGCATCAGGACCAAGGTGAATGTGCACCTGCGTATGATCAATCACTGCTACCGCGATGTGAAGATTCGTGTGCTCAGCCTCGGGCCAAGACTGCTGGGAAGAGCTTTGGGGGCTTTGCCTCTTTTCCCAGCTCTGACTGGAAGGGTCCCTGCATCTACTACACCAAATCCACCCACCTCAGTATACAGAGAGATAGGAATAGCAGGTGAATATTTAAGAACCCAGAGGATATTCTACATGTACATGTGTGTGCTGTTGTACAAGTTTTTGTCATTAGTGAAATATTCAGTATTCTATTAAAACCCATTCGATTTCTTCTTTCATCTGACAGAAGTAAACCAAAGTCTGGTTGGTTGCTCTTGGTTACTGTACTTGCATACAGTCGCCGTGTCTAATTGAATATGCCTGTATTTGTCATGCTTGTCTTTAAACCATCCTTTCCTGTATGGTCTTTTGACTGTCCCTTTACCCCTAGGCCTGGAGTCTCTACGTGACAGCGCGCACTCCACTCCGGTCCGTTCCTCTGACCACCTTGATGTTTTAACTCATCGAGCTTTTCGTGAGACAGTGATCAGTGATGAGGCATATACTCCTTGCTGCAGCATTCTCCCAACTCCTGTGTATGACTCCAACCTGGAGTTATCTTTCGGGCAACAGGTGAATGGAACAACGTGTACCACCAAGGATGAGGAGAGTGACCTAGCCGCTCCCAGCATTCCTGATATGGAGACCCCTCCACCAGCGCTGCCCGGGCCAGAGGGATCTGTTCAGAGGGAACCTGAGCCAGAGCAGGAAAATACATTTCTACAGAGCGTTCTCCGGCTGCTGGCAGTCACCCTGTGTCTACTGCTGGCATTGCTTCTGCTGCTGGTTATACTGGCTGAATCTGACCTGGAGTTAGCATTTCTGAGGGACATCCGGCTTACCCCTGAATTCCAGCAGTTCCATTATCAGTACTTCTGTCCTCTGCGACGATGGGTGTCCTGCAAACTACACCCTATCATCCGCCTCATTGACTCCTAATAGGGATTGCACACATTGACCCTAAGTGTACGTGAGGAGTGATGTCTTCCAGTGTCCTTCCTTTCTCACTCTTGTCTTGTCTCAAACCCTTCCCGGTTCAAAGGTCAGCTGAATAAACCTTTGCTGAGGGTTCTCTGGGTGTGCATGGGCGTATGAGGGTGTGATAGAGGTGCAGGGTGCCTCTGATACATTTGCATGGGGGTCAGATCTGCTTTGTAGTTCCTTATGTATCATCCATCAGTCCTATAGGACTGCTCAGCTCCAGAAAACAAACTGCCACTGTCAGGTTTTTGTACACTTGGCTTGATATGCTTGAAGGTGGCAACACGGAAAGCACATAGACCAGTGTATACATTGTAGAAATTAAGTTTTTGGGTCTCTTGCAGTTTATAAAAGTTTACTCAGACCTACTAGACTGTGTCAGGGTTACAAATAGATCCAATACCAGTTATATGAACAATAATAACTGGATTCATACCCATTGCCTACACATGATGCTTAATGAAGCAAAATGGCAGTGATAATAGTCAACAGTAACCAATCAGAGATCTTCTTCTACTTTATAGAAAGTAGATGTCAGTGGTTGCTGTAGGGTCACTGCTGATTTTGGACTGTTGTTGAAGGCAGATAGCTGTATAATATAATCATTTATAGGCTGCAAGCCAGGACTAACAAAGGTTAATCCCTGAATTCTCATGTAACTCAAACCTCTCCTTTTATATGGAATGGGAAAACTAAGGTCAGGGGACAAAAATAATCTAGCACATTTTATTTTCGATCTATAATAATAGCGCAGGGTTACATCACAGATCTGAAAAGCTAGACACCATCGTTACAGTAGGCCTGTGTCTTTTGTTGTCAGTCGTGCAGTTGATTGATAATATGAAACAAATCATTTTGTACATTTCCATGAACACTTGTTAGAGTTTTTCACATATCCAATGCTGTACAGTAACTGTCAGTCATATACTGCACTGACACCAATTGCAGCGGGGACATCTAGAGGGGAACTGGAGGTACTGCATGCTAAGAGATACTTGAATTTTAAAAATGCAGATGTAAGTGTCATTTCATTCTATATTAAAATATATCTATCATATCTAAACATATTTAGGGGAAGTGAAGGCAGACAGGAATCGACTAGAAATGATGTTTTTGTAGATTTCATGGAATAATAATGTAATGTTCTGCTGCTTCTACAGACCAGCTGGTGTTTTGGGAAATTCAGAGGTAGACGTGCTTAGTGCATTATTCATAAGTCATATTTTTTCTAAACTGGGCGTGAACAGGAAAGCATTGTAATACCTGCCTGTCAATCAAGTGGATTAGCTTTGCAGCAAGACCAGCTTAGCTCTAGAGTTGCAGCCTGCATGCACTCTTCATGTATAAATAGTTGCTGTCTACAGAATTAGACACCAGATGTGGTAAAGGGGAACTCCAGGCAACAGGGGAGCTACAGAGGACAGCACCCAAAACTAGAGAACACTTGGTCTGCATTTTCAGTCTGTGATATAAGGCTGTTATAAAACATCGGATGCCAATGACTACACAGTGTGGGAGTCAGCTGCATTAAAGTGAAACTAAACTCTGGAGTTAAATCTTAAAAATACTTTCAAGTTCCTTAACTATTCACTAAAATGTATCTTATTTGTGTATCACTCAGCTGTAGAGCCTCCAATCATCTCTGAATTGGTGCTGACACTGTCCTTCCTTCTGGAGGGTGGCTACTTTTATTCCCCATGGTCCCTGGGTGTGATATAAAGTAGCGACCGCTCCAAGCTCACTCCTGTGATGGACTACAATCTCAATACAAATTAGTAAACTAAACATGAGATAGTAGTCCATCACAGGAACAAGCTTGGAGCTGTGACTACATTACAACACACACAGGGACCATGGGGAACAAAAGTAGTCACCCTCCAGAAGGAAGGACAGTGTCAGCATGAAGGCTAGTTCACACCAATTGCGGTGCGTTCCAGAGCGTTAGCTCCTGGAACGCACCGTAATCGCACACTTAACTCCCCCCTTCTTTCTGGGGTGGGAGGGGGTGTGGTGGTGCATTGAAGTAAATGGCACCGCAGCCATGCCAGCATCCAGCATTTTTTTGCGTTCGCACTGGACCGGAACGCAAGCAATGTTTTGCCATGGGTCTGATCGCAGTGCGGGCAGGGGGTGTAACTGCGGTGCAATTGACTTCAATACACTGCCACGCCCCCTCCCGCTCGCCACAGAAAGAAGGGGGGAGTTAGTGTGCAATTACGGTGCGTTCCAGCAGCTACCACTCTGGAATGCACTGCAATTGATGTGAACTGGCCCTTATTTTAGAGATGGTTTGATAATCTACATCCGAGTGATCCACAAATAAGATACATTTTTGTTAATAGTTAAGGTACTTGAATCCATTTTTAAGGTTTAACTCCGGAGTTTAGTGTCACTTCAAGTGAATGACAGCATGAAAATTAGAGCAGTGAGCCTAGACTGAGTTTAAATACATTTCCATGATTATACCTTATAAAACTTCATTAGTTGTATATGACCTCACATACAAGGGCTCCAAAATGTGGCCATTGACCATTTAAAATCTGCTGGTGGCCACTTTCTTCAGTAGAATGCCAGTGGGCTTTGTCCATTTAGGCTGAAACGGAGCACGGAGGGAGGAAGCACAGAACACACTGTATACATCCATTACCCAGAACATTGTTGTTTTGTAAGGCTGAAGTTTGCTGGAGCTGAAGCAGCATATCAGTGTTGTGAACACAAGTCCCGATGTGGAGCATGGGGCAATGATGCTGGAGTGTCTGATATCACACTGAGTGAGTGGTAATTGTTCACAACAAGGTGATACATGAACAATATATACAATAGAAATGTATCACTAAGCCCATCTTGTAATTGTTTCTGTATTACAATTGTCTCATTGTGCCATTAGATGGACAATTTACCTCCACTTTGTGATCATTCTCTTAGAATAATACCCCTACAGTGTGCGGCGGTCTCATCATGCGTGTTCTTAGAGCCCATGCATTAGGGTTTGTGTACGATTGTTAATCACAGAGGGGTCTGTTGGAATGGATGAATTCTCTGTTTGTGTGCTCGGTGACGGTGAGTCGTCCATATTTGATTTGGTGAACTAGGAGAGACTGTGTGGTCTGTATATCTGTATGTATGCACCTCAGCTGACTGTCCAGCCCTGACAGGTATTCAATGTGATATAGGGGCATTCATATTTGTAATTAAAAGTTTGCACACATACTAGATCATTAAAAAAAAGCAGATCATCCAAGGTGGAAATAGTATAGACACAGACAGACTTAAAGGAAAATGATAGTGTTTTATTATTGTTCATTGACTTTCTCCTTTTTATGAGGGTTTGTAAACTGATATTTATATCATTATTTTATATTTTACAAATAAACATTTATTACAGGGTGTGCAGCCTGTCTAATTAGAAAGCCCAGCACTAGCGCTGCACTTGTTGACTGTTTCTGCACATTTAGCACCTAGGCAGCTGGTCTGCAGAAGAGGAGGATGGTCTGTCCCTCCGCTGAGTCTTTTCGCTGCGGTGTGAGACCTGGAATCCTGCTCTTTAGGTCTGTATTCATAGCACAGCAGTAACCAGGTTATCTGAAACCTATGAGTACTAGGCACAGACCATCTGCTGGGTGCAGAAATGCAAATATGAAACATTTATGTGTGATATTTCATATATAACTGGCTAAAAGGAAATACATTTTCTAAATGTATTTATTCCTAACAAATGACACAGAAGTCTGGAAAAACACTTTACCTTTCCTTTAAATCAAAGCTGTGATAGTGTGTGTGCGTGACATGGCCAGGGGCTCTTCCTTGTTTTACAAGCATCATCTATGCCAGGGATAGAACCTCGGCACTCTAGCTGTTGTGGAACTACAAGCCCTCTGATGCATTGCAAGACTCTAACAGCCACAGACATGACGGGATTTGTAATGTCACCACCGGTGGAGTGCCAAGGTTGCCTATCCTAGATCTAAGATCTGTGGAAAGCTTTAGGAAGTAAGAGGTCTTTGTAGTAGAATGTGAGATATCTGTATGCTGGTGTACATGTTTGGTGAGAGCCTGTGACTGTATATTAGGAAGTGTAAGGTATGTGGTCTGCTGATAGGAAGGTAGTTGCCAGCTGGGAGTATAAGCACACTGCAGTTTTCCTAAAGAGTTTCCCTGCTAAATCCTGAATTATTGTAATGAGACAAGAGAAGCCTGCACATTAAAAGCCTTCCACGCCAGAGAGCAGCCTTGGATCATTCACAAGGGGCTTGGTGAGCTGGTTGTGGACGACCTGATTGCACAATGGTGGACTGGAATAGCGTTTCCTCCTCCTTCATAAGTGTGCAAGTATCCAAGGCCAAGCACACTGCAAATGAATTGTCTGCGCAGTCCAATTGGTTGTTCTGTGATATGCCCACCCACTAAATTCATGGTGCTTTCCTGGGGCGAGGACCACGGAAATAAACACTTAGACCTCTCACAATATATATCTCACCTTCTTTCCTTATCTTGTGCTGAGAACCATTCTATCAGCTCAATTGCAATGACTGTCGGCATCCGATGATACCCTCCCTAGCCCAGTGTCACCACCATCATCAGCACAGTGAGGGGAAAGCATGATACAAACTTTAAGAAAACTGCAGCATGCTTGTTGGAGATCACCATATATCTGTGTCCTGTTGGCTATGTCTCTGCATCTCATTCAAGACATACAGTATTGCTTGTGCCTTAGTATGTGAGATATGCTTGCTTTACCCTTGGGGCAGTTGTGTGGTTGGTACCTAGAATAAGTGGATGCATTTTGGCCCCCCACACCTGATATGTTCCCGTTCTTGATAACTGAATGTAATATAGTTACACATCTCACATTTTTGGAGCAATGGCTTAGTTGAAGGGAAGCCGTAAAGAAAATGTTTTCCTGTAACGGCGGAGGCTTCCATCCAGCACTGCCAGAGATGCTGCATGGGTCTGCTCTG